ATGTCAGGATTGCCAATAAACTATTAAATCTTTAATCCAATTGATCAACAATTAGCAATTAACGTTTAATTTTTAGTTCCAATAATTAAAAATCAAAATTATTTTTTTAATTGATATCTCCCATACAACGTCCAATTCCAATCAGAAAACAATAATCAATATTCAACTTTTCATGGAAATATTTACTACAAGAGAGCTTCTGTAAGCTAGTTAAAATCATTCGATAAATAACAACTTCTCGACTTTAACGAGCAAAGATTTTCAAGTCAACAAGAAGAAAAAAGAATCCCTTGCCAGCGAGTAGACGGCGATAAAAATCCAGAGCGCTCTGCTTCAAACGAAGCTTGCACGAAGTGAACGCACTCGCGTGATCTACAAAAAAGCTAAGCCGTGAAAAAACCGAGCAGTCGAGTTCCGTCACGTTTGCGAGCTAGCCAGAAAATCGGAGGGGAAATGTCCCGAAATATTTGTATTACCACTGGCGCGGGTTAGAAGAGGGTTGGAAAGCATCGCGTTTGTTTAACGAGCACCACAAAAAAGAGAATGCAGAGAACTAAGCGACGAATAAATTCAGGAGACAGAATAATAGCTTGTGCTCGATTAAAAAGAGCTACAATCAGTGGGACGGAAGAAATCGAGTAAAATAAATAAAGAGATTATGCTAAAAAATGATGCTACTGAAATGTACAAATACAGGAAAATAACTGCAAAGAAAATAAGAAATTGGAAACACAAGAATATTTTTGATGTTTCAAATTGTCAAAGATTGAAAACTCAAACTTTTTCAAGAAGAAAATTCGATAAGATAAGAAACTGAAGACTTCAACTTTCTTCAATTTCCTCAAATAAAAAGAAAAACATTTTTCGGTAGAAAGTTCTTAACTCAATGATATCGAAGTAAAACGTGCGTGCACGAAAGATCCAAAGGAGGAAGGCGTAAATCTATGGGCGCCACACTGTCTGCGGCTAACGCTCGATAAACTACATTACGTGCTAACGCGTGATAGCTTCTATTTCTTCCCCAGCTTCTCCTTTTTGCCCGTGGTCGCCTCTCCTTTTCTCGTTGCCTGCGCCGCGAACCATGTCAACCACCGGCGAAGGTCCTATTGCCAAGGGAAACTGTGTCACAACCTCCATGGACGGCTTCAACGTTGCCCGTATTAAAAAAAGTAGAGCGAATATTTTATGGAAAAACCAGGCTCATAATTAAGTGGTTCTCGGAAGCACGCGTTATCACGACCCTTTTTTCTGATATTAGAAATAGGAATAAACTGCAGTTGTACGACGATGACGAAATATTTTTAAAAGTCGTTTTGCTGCCAGATCGTTGACGAAATTATTACGCCCCCGTCAAAGGGCGTACAATTGCGGTAATGAGAAGTTTTTCTGTTTTCACGCACTGTTTAATACACATGCGAAAGTCGGGAAATAAAATTTTGCTTCACTCCT